AAAAAGTAGAAAAAAGAAAACATGTGGTGTGGTGACAGTGAAGGTAGATTCCAGCAGGAACAATGGCGGTGGCGCTCAAATGTTGTAGGGATCGACAACAACACTTCTACCTTGGTGGGGATCTTAAATTTTTGGAAAAATACTCGAAATTCCTTCAATAAACAGGTAAATTCAGTGGGGAGAGGAGAAAACGAAAAGAAAAAGAGAAAAAATGAAGTCTCACATGTGATGTCGTCGGTGATGAGCTTTGTTGCCGGAGTGGTGGACGAGGACGTGGCTTTGAACGGAGAAAGTCGAGATTTTGCTGAGGAAGAAGGGGAAAATCGAGTGAGGAAGAAGATGCAATGAAAGGGGAAAGAACGAGGGAAGAGGGGTATTATCTGCACTGGGTATTAGCGGCGACGACACCCATTTAGCGGCGACGAATGCCCTTTTAGCGGCAACACATGTGGAGGGAATCTTTGGCGGTGTTTTTTTTCAAGTATTAGCGACGACAATGTTGCTGGTAAACGCGTCGCCACTAAAAGTTGTGTACGATGTGGATTTCTAGTAGTTGGATTAGGCACTAAATTAATGGTTGTGATTTCACCTCATCGTTTGACACGAATCGACGTTGAGGAGGCTTTAGCAGCGTCGTCGCTAAAGACGTCGCTGCTAAAGCCTATTATTCTTGTAGTGAGAGAGTCGTTTGTTCCCATAACCTGATTCCACCAGCTATTAATGACAACACAAACCTCCGAAGCGATAGAACAATCCAAAAGAAGATGGGACATGGTCTCCATAATGGTTTTGCAAAGCGGACACGAATCGTAGAGGGTTGTTAAAAATGATATCAAAGATGGGGCATGAGTCGATGTGTTCGACGGGGATGTCGAAGCCTATAATGGGGGGTGAAGGCGGGCAGGCTAGATGCACTTGATCCTACATCGGTTGGGAAGGAGAACTAAGCTTTCCTTATAAAGGGTGTGGATACCTTCCCTAACACAACTCGTTTTAAAGCCGTGAGGGTAGCAAATCCCATAATAACTCTGCAGTTATGTGTGCTCGGGTGGGAGCAGTATCGGGATGGGTGACCCCTCAGAAGTTTTTGTATCGGGAGCCCAAAATGGACAATATTGTAACACATACCAGAGGGGGATGTTACAAATGGTATCAGAGCTGGGGCACGGGTCGATGTGTTCGACACGGACGTCGAACACTATAACTGGGGTGAATGTGGGTTGCACCTGATCCTACATCAGCTGGGAAGGATAACTAAGCATTCCTTAAAAGGGGTGTGGATACCTTCTCTGACACAACTCGTTTTAAAGTCGTGAGGGCAGGAGATCCCATAAGAACTCTACAGTTAAGCGTGCCCAGTGGCGGACCCTCTAAGGGGCCAGGGGAGGCCATGGCCCCCCAGGTTTTTTTCATACTAATACCTGTATATAGTGTAACTATCTCCAAAAATCCCATAAAACCAATTTTATGCCTCTATGTAATTGGCGGTATATACAAGCAACTTCAAACAAATCATAAAACCAACCTTATCAGAAACTGAAAATTCGAAAAAAGAAAATACTTAACAAAATACCGGAAAATCACAGGAAAAAACAAAATCACAGCTATTTATTAGGATAGTAGATAAATTAGGAAACCAAAACTCTCTATAAATCAACCGGTAATTATTCCAATGTACAAGTTTTGTAACATCCCAAAATACAACCCAAAAATTTTTGTTTGAAAACTTTACTAAACCATAATATCAAATTTTAAAAGATAAAAAGCATGAATCGTGTATCTCAAAATGTCATAATAAATTTATCAAATCGAAACTAGTGTCAAGATCATATCAAAATATCAGAGTCTAACTCCCAGGCTAAACTGTGGTGTGTGCCATGCCATCATCCCGAGCCCTTCCCTTTGCTAGCTGAAGTACCTGAAACCAAAACTGAAACTGTAAGCACGAAGCTTAGTGAGCTCCCCCAAACTACCACATACCATACAATAACATATAAAGCACATACTGGACCTTGCCCACTGCATCAGACCGAAGTCCGGAACTAACTAGGGCCTTGCCCACTGCATTGGACCGAAGTCCGGAACTGCATCAGAACGAAGTCCGGAACTGACTAGGGCCTTGCCCACTGCATTGGACCGAAGTCCGGAACTGCATCGGACCGAAGTCCGGAACTGACTGAACATAGCATAACATAATCATAACATATAATATGAACACATATACTGCATACTGCATCGGACCATAGTCCGGAACACATAACACATACCATGCATGTATCACACAGACACCAAGCATACTGAACTAATGCATCGGACTGTAGTCCGGACATACTGCTAACTAAACGGGCCGGAATTGTGGTCGTAGACCCATTCCTACTGGAAGGAAAACTCACCTCGTAAGGCTGGCTGCTGAAATGCTGCCCGGGAACTGTCTGATTGCTGCTCCGGTAACTCCCCGGCTACAATTCCCAAAAGACACTTAATCAGACACTGATAACTAATCTTAGGGTAAACTGACTATTTTACCCCCTGGTCAAAGTCAACAATCCGTTGACATGACTCGCCGAGTTGGGCCGCCAACTCGTCGAGTCCCTATCTTTCCTTCTACTCCCCTTCCCGACTCTACTCGTCGAGTTTAATAAAAACTCGACGAGTTCTCCTGCTTTACTGATATCCTGCCAACCTTCATCCGACTCGCCGAGTTGTATCATCAACTCGTCGAGTTCACCTTCAACATAAGAACACGTCCAGTCTGTGACTCGCCGAGTTGTATGAACAACTCATCGAGCCTGTTCTTACGGGTAAGGAGATTGCCTTGGACTCGCCGAGTCAGGGCGTAGACTCGTCGAGTCCCTCTACACTCAGATCTATGTCTTAACTCACTGAGTCTTTACTCCACTCACTAAACAGACTCGCTACTATTGAACAGAGAATCTAAGACTCGCGACCTGACTCGCCGAGTCCTTTGCATGCAGTTTCTATTCAGTCGATTCTAATCAGTTTTAGTGCATCCAATTCATAGATCTGGGTTTCTGGGACTATCTAAACACGTAAAGTTGCTAACTTTACGTGTATCTATGATGCAATGAAGCAATAACACTCAAACTTGGCTATTATGGGGTTACTTGTCTAGAACAAGCCATGGCTGCCAAAAGGTGGCCTTCTTAAGCTCCTGGAACTCAAGAGAGGCTAGATCCGAGATATGGCTTGATTACAAAGCTTCATCACTAGGGATTTGGGGTTTTTGAGCTCAAAACCATCAATTTGGGGACAAACTAGATCTAGCAATACAATAACCAAGATGAAAGCTTTATTACCAGAAAGGATGGCCAAAGAGGAGTATAATCTGGATCTACTTCTTCTTCCTTGAGTTCTTCTACCTTCTCCTTCTTCTTCTTGCTCAACAATGCACCAAGATTCCTTCACAAGGGCAAAGATCACTCACACACACTTCAAGGAGGCTAGGGTTTCGGGAATAAGTCTCTGAGAGGTGAAGGGGGCTGGTTTGGGGCTATAATGGTGTTTAAATAGGGTACACTCCCTGAAAATTAGGGCTTCATCCAGATTGGCGGACTCAGCGAGTCCGGAATATGGACTCGTCGAGTCGCCACGCCAACTCCACGTGCTGATCCGTTGCTACTCGACGAGTTAGGGCCACTGACTCGTCGAGTAGCTTCTAAAATAAGAAGAAAAATAATGTTTTAAATGCATACCAGGAACGGGGCGTTACAAGTTTTTTACTCCGATCTTTGAGAACAAATATAAAACCCTAATAATCCTAAAAAGTCATCGCTACCACCGAGAAGAACCGTCAAGGCTCACCGGAAAATATCGATGTCGTTGGAGTGGTCAGCTACGTCGTTTGTCGAACCAAAGACCTCCGTGAGCTCTCGCTATTTGATCTCCACCCTTGCTGCTCACCTTGGAGCGCTCTATCTATCTACTCTCAGCCGTTTGCTAAATCACTCCCACCATTCGGCCGACGACCTCTGTGCATCTCGTTATCTTCTCCATCGTATGTGCTTTCTTTGTTTTCCCTCTTTCTCTTTCACTTGTCATAATTTATGAGGGTAGGGTAAATAAATGAAAGGATAAAGTAAAGAAATCTGATTATTGGAAAACTAAATAGAGGTGATAGCCAAAGTAATTCTGAAAAAGATAAAATAGGCATAGTAATAATCTCCCTATCTATATTCTATTCTTTCTTTCCTGTTGTTTTGTACTGCATTGAATTTTTTTTTTATATTGTAAAGAGTTTAATTTTAAAACAGGAAAATGAAAACTTCCACATATTATTTACACACGATGATATTATAAAGTACAAAATTTTGATTTGATTGTCTAAAAATATACCAAATTTAATTATATTATCGTTTTTATATATTTAATTTAATTATTTGTATTATGTAGTAGATATTAACATGACAATCAAATTTCTAAATTTAAAAAAAAAACATACAAGTTTTATTCAAAATCCCCAAAAGCCACATGTAATTATTTTATATAATTTTATTTTAAAATTTGATCGGCCCCCTAGCTTTAATTCTTGTGTTCCGCCCCTGAGCGTGCCCGGACGAGAGCAATTCAGGGATGGGTGACCCCTTGGGAGTTCTCGTGCTTAGTGGCTCAAAGCGGACAATATTGTGATACGTGTCGGAGGGAGATGTTAAAATAATAACCATTACTTATACGATATTTTTGCTTTTAGATTAATATTCTAGTTTGTTGAAAACTTGAAATACCAAATTATTATATTTGATTTTTTACTTTAAAAAATCATTATATTTATGAAAACTACGAAAAAGTGTGGCCTTGTTTTGTTTATGAACTCTGTTAGTCGGTGTAGATTTTAAAAGATAAGATGAGATACAATATTAGAATCAAGGGGAATGTAACTAAAGTCAATAACTCAAAACTCTTATAAAAATGAAGCACGCCTTAATTTGTCAAAACTTGTCCCAAAGCTCACTTCGTTTTCTCTATAAATTTTCAGGTCGACCATGGACTCCTTCTTTCAACCAACTGGCCTCCGTCTATCTCAAGATCAAACTGGAAACCCTAATTCTTGGTGTTCATCTTTAAATTATACTTTCTCCAATACAGATGACCAAATTAATCATTTCGACATCGATGTTATGTTGCATAATTGCCATAATCTTTATCCTAATAATAATAACCCTAACCCTAATCTTCCCCAGTTCATCGATCCACCAAGTTATCAAGATTCTAGTTCTTCGAATTTTCCAGCATATATTAGCACCAATGAGCAGACTCCGGTCTTGCTTGAAATGACCACAGCTGCCAATGCTTCGGAAAGCTCAGATATTTCTGCGTATGCCACTTGCACGCCACAAGCAAACCTTTTTCACAGGCAAGCGTACGTTAGCTAGGTGTTTTTGTTTTCTTAATGTATTTGGCTTGTTAATTAACTGTACATGACAAAGTTATATGCCACTTCCAATATGATAGAAAGCTTTGTTTGTGTTTGTATTCAACTTGTTAATTATATAATTTTCATTTATTTCTATTGAACTGTACAGTGATATGTGCAATGGAGATAGGGTGCATGATGGAACAAAGATTGCATTTCGTATAAGAACCGAGCTTGAGGTGCTGGATGATGGGTATAGATGGAGGAAGTATGGCAAGAAGAAAGTTAAAAGCAGTCCTAATCCAAGGTATTTTTCACCCAAAACGTTATTATATATGGACTTCATTTATGTGCATGTGTGAGCTTTTATAATTAAGCTTGGAAATCCCAAAACCAGAAGTAACGAGAGATCAGTTATATATATAATACAATACTAAACTAAAAGCTATCAAAGGTTTTTGCGATTTTGAGCGTCCAATATCATCACTCCACTCAACAAACCAACATGTACCTATCCCCACTATAATAAAAAAAATCACAAACGTTATTTATGGATCTCAAAAAGATTATATATTTGTAATTAGTAATTAAGATAAAAAAAATATAATTAAAATGAAGAAATAGTTGTTGGAGAGAGCTTGTAAATTAACATCAAAAAATAATAAAAAGTTATTAGATAAAGGATTCTCATGAGGGCTTATTTGAATTTTTAGAACCTATTTAACCCGAAAGAGTCCTCGAATAAGCTTCAATTAGTTATAGTTGTTGTTATGTAGGGTTTAATTTCAAATGAAACTATATGTTATTAAAAACATAGGTGGCCGTTGTTTCATATATATATATACATAATCATTCATCTATCTCCCTTAGGAGTTAATCGTGAAATACAAGCCTTCCAGCCTAGTTTTGGCATTCATGAGTTTATCATTTCGCCATGAAAGCTTCCCATAATGATTAAGATGCTGGACTTTAGCTCTTAACATTCAATATAGGTATTATTATTATTATTATTATTTTTTGTGAAAATGGTTCCTCCTGTTAACTGCCGTATATGAAGACCTATTTTGGGTACTAATTACACCTTTGGGTGGATGGTCTCAAGGTTCCAAGCCGATTTGAAGTCCTAGATTAATTAAAAAAATAACTCTTACAGTATATATATATATATATATATATATATATATATATATATATATATATATATATATATATATATATATTAAAGTGGATGGTTTTTTTGTTTTTATGTTTTCAGATATACCTTTATTATACTTGTTCATTCTTTGCCGTTTCTCTTAGATAAATACTTTCTAGGCTAAATATTATTATTTTAATTTATAAAACAGTGAGATAAAAAAAACAAGTAAAGAAAACAAAAACATCTAGTTGTGAACTTGTGTGATGTTGAATCGTTTTTTGGCAACAATGATAACAAATTTTGAATTTTTTTCTAAGCTCCAACAACAAGAATTTCAAAACTTATATGATGTAGTTTTAAGTTATCTACAAAATAATAAAAAAGATAGCACATAAATTAACATTTTTATCATAAAACTAATATAGAAGAAGTGAAAAACAATAACGAAATCTTACAATTTACACAAATCATAAATCAGATTAACATGAAGCAAAAATAAAAAATGGGAATTGGTAAGGCTACCTAAAATAAGATTTACACGAATACAATATCATTTTTTGAAGAATGCGTGCAATATGAATAATAAAATTGATATATTAAGAAATATTGAAATCAGAAATTTGAAAAGAGACATTGAAATTGTAAATCAAAGTTGCGTGAAAAAACCAGAATCGATTTATTTATTACCAATGAAAAAATAGAGTTGTTTCATAGAATCTTTCGATCGATGGTGGTAAAAGACCCTATACGATGATTATTCAAGAAGTATTGCATATCTTTTAGTCTTCACTTTTGATTTTGTTTTAGTTTAGTTTTTTTTTTTTCTTTTTCCGCTAAACCGCTATACATGATTTATCATTTTTTTATACTACATTATAAGATATATAAAAATAAGACTTTAAATATTTGGAGGTCGTATACTACATTATAAGATATATAAAAATAAGACTTTAAATATTTGGAGGCCGTGAACTATTGCCAAATTGCCCAACCCATTAGCAAGACCCTGGATGGTCCTCTGTAGGTGACATAGTGATAGTTATGAGAATCCAAAATTCCTGTCTACTAATTAGCTAGCTTAGCAATTTCACCATATTGACTAGTCGCATTCATCATTCATTATCATACGGTAACAATCATAAAACGGTCAAAATGGATGGTGAGAAACACCACTAACTTTCTTTCGTACTTGATAAAAGGGAAGACTCTTCTTTCATATTTAACCAAAACCTAGTTCGTATATGCATAGGAGACATATTTACAAATAAAACTAAATATTATATGTTGTTATAGCTCTTATGGCCTTTGGTAATATTAGTTAAAAATATGGTTTTGTTTTAATTAATATTTTAGTACATTTTTGCTATATTTGATAGGGATATGGGGGCGTTGATGCGTGCATTTTGACTTGGAGTTGACATCAGTAAATGAATACAGAAAAAAACAAACATAATAAATGATAGTGATTATTGTACATGCAATAAAAGAAATTCGCAAAATAAACATAGAAAAAGAAACTTTTAATGTTCATAAACGTGATATCGCTCATCTTTAACGGATTAAATTCGTAGGCTCTGCTTTAACCAGCACTTCACAACGACAAATTACACCATGGGGATTAATGATTAGCTAAAAAAATACACGAATACAAATATTTTACTAAAATATAAATAAATATACATTTAAAAAATAATAAATCAATATCATTAACTATAACATAATGTTTTTTAAACTAAATTAAAACATGAATAGTACTATTTGATTATCTTAAATCATATAATAATAAAATATTTATTAGCAGGATCTATATTGAATAGTTGTATATAATAGTTATAATGATAATTATATTCAAATTAAAATAAGTATTTATCTCAAACTATATAAGTTCAATGGTAATATTGCATCTATCATGATTATAGGGGTGACAAATTATGACACGACACGACAAAAATACACGACACGAAATGAAATTGGGACGAAACTGAAATTTGAATTCGTGTTCGTGTTAACTGTAAACAATACGATGTCGTGTCGTGGTCGTGTTCGTGTTTAAAATTCGACACGAAATTGACACGATTTAGCAGTTTTTTATCGTGTTTGTCGTGTTATATTTGATAAAGTATTCATTAAATAAACTAGTTTTTAGTATATTTTATATTTTTCGTGTCGTGTTTGTCGTTTTTTAATTCGTTCATTTTCGTGTTAGTTAAAAAAACACGACATCGTGTCGTGTCGTGTTCGTGTTGCATAAAACTTTGTCGTGTCGTGTCGTGTTAGACAGAAACACGAAACGATAGCACGATTTGTCACCCTTACCTGATTATAATAACACATGAAATATATGTGAATATAAATTTATACTAAATTAATTTAAAAACTACTTTTATTATTTCCCAGTTTTGATCTTTATGATGTTCAAATAACAACCATATAATATTCAGGGTTATATAAATTTTGATGTTTTATAATCTTTAGGTAAAAATATATTCAGATGAAGTCTGGTCCTAAATGGATATGGAGTGTGCGACCGCACATGACCCCTAAAAATATAGGACTCGAGATTTAGTAAAATTTATTTATTAAATAAGTTAATATATACCCTTTTACGTAAATGTTTACAAAAATATTTTGTTAACTGGCTGCCGAAGGTGCGCGTCGGTTATTCTCCGTTATTCTTTTCTTCTCGCTAATCATTGTTCGATTCCACATACACGCAATCATTTTTTTTCTTTTTCTTAATTACTTTCCTATGGTTGGGTGTTCATCTAAAAATAACTTTTTAACTTATTGACTTTTTCAAAAGTCAACAAGTTACATAAAATATTTAACTACCTAATAAGGACTTTTAAAACAATTTTTTTTTACGTTTTGAAAATAACTTTTTAAGAAGTAACAATTTGTGACTCTTTAAAATAATTCATAACTTATTATGATAAAAAACAAACAAATATAATTTTAAACCAAAAATACTTTTTTAACTTATTGACTTATTGACTTTTACCACTAAAAATCTAATCCAAACATTTTTTTAAAAGCTCATTTTCCCAACTTCATAAGTCAGCAAGTAGTTTTCGACAATAATACGTTTTAACTTCAAAATAAAATCCTAAACACCCTTAACTAGTTCCCATATTCTACATTTCTAGAATCACATGTGTCTTTTTTAGTTAATTACTCTCGTGTCGGTTTTCTTTTTTGAGTTAGTTTGCGTTGCTGTCTTTTTTAGTTAATTACTCTCGTGTCGGTTTTCTTTTTTGAGTTAGTTTGCGTTGCTGTCTTTTTTAGTTAATTACTCTCGTGTCGGTTTTCTTTTTTGAGTTAGTTTGTGTTGCTTTTTTTAGAAGTAGCTTTACTTTTATTTTTAATTCAACCATGTCCATTAAGGGCTGGCCAAAATGACCATTTTATCTTGGTATTTGATTGTACATCTGATTAGACACTTGATTTTAAACCAAACACATAACAAAAATGCGATAGCAGCAACAAAGGTCCAACATACATAATATATACTTATCTATAATATATATAGCTACAAAGAGCTTCACCAACACATAATATACGTAATTATTTATATTATATGTATAACAAAAAGAGAAATATAATTTTAAGTAGAACAAAAGGAATAGAAGTCCACATCATACATATTTCAACAAAAGTCAAATAGATTCAAGCACTCAAAACATAACATATTCTATTTGTTGGATTGGTTTCATTGAGCAATCACTCAAAGGAGTACAAAAATAAAAACAAACAGACAAATAAAACCAGATTCAACATCATTACCATATCAAACTAATATAACCAAACTCTCTCCTAAACATGGGAGCAAAAGGCCTGTCCGGATAAAACTTGTGTAAGAGCAAAATTTTCTAAAGCGAGAGAATTACTAACAACCTTGTGCAAGAAACATTAAATGTAGCCACTTCAAATTACAACCAACACATCCTTTCCATTTACATATAATGGTATATCCTTTGGGAATAATCGTAACAGAGGGAGCATCCAAACTTGAGTGCATCACAACTCTAACAACACCAATCAACCTTGTTGAGTGAATCACCAATTGTATCCAATCTAATCCAATAGTTACATCTAACTATATCTCTTCCAAATATGCTTAGAATTCATCACAGTCACGATCAGAAGTGAGACAAATAGTATCTAACTTC